CTTGAACTTCTAAAATAAGACTGAAGTGATAACCCTGCTCAGTGGAAAGAGAGTCTTTTAGTGCACTAAACCTCATTATGAGGGATGAGAGGCAGTCACTGAATCTGAAACCAGTCACATCACATTTAAATACAACTGCAGACTGAAGTTGGTGACCCAGGGAGGTAGGAAGCAGGTAAGACAATTAAAGCCTGGAGGCAGGAAGAGTCCAGAGCTACTGGATCATTGGCTATTTTCTTGTCCTAAAACAATGCGACACACTGCAGTTCAAAGGAAGTTGTTTTATTTCTGATTTACAGGCATGGTATTGTGTTTTGGAGGGTAGGTGATGTTCATATTCTGCTTTTTTACAGTAAAGACCTGTGCTCATGTATATATTGAAAGCTGCTAAACAAATTGTTGTTTCTGCAACCCATCAGGGACTATGTTTCCAGCACTGAGGCCCAGGTCATGCAGTCTCAGCTCCGTGCTGGGATCAGAAGGGTCTGGAGGGTTCTGAACCTTCCTTCCTTCTTTCCTTCCTGCCACAGTGCATGAAACGTCCACCATGAAAATGTTTACATTGGGTTAGGAGAGGAAAATAAAATTCACTGTGAGCAGGAAGAGGATAATGCATTTATTGTGGTCAATTTAGTGTCAGTTGCTTTAACAACTAAACTAGCTTCCAACAATATGAGGACATAGAAGAGGGGAAAGAGGAAGTTCTGGATCAGAGTGGAACCTGAATGGTGATGTTGAACACCAGTTCTGATGACTGTGTTAGTGCATTTATTGTGCATATGCACCCACGAGTCAGAAGAAGAAAATCAGAAATCAGGCACCACCATTGACTGTGATATTTAACTTCCCTGAGCCCCACTTACCTCATTTGTCCACTAGCCTTTTCACTTTTCAGCTATATGAACTTAGAGTTGGCCCAGGACCAGCTGCCCAACATGAGGGTCCATTGCACAATGAAAATGCAGGGACTCCGCTGCTGGCCCAGTCAGTAAGGATCCGCATTCCAATGCCAGGACGTGGGTTCGGTCCCTGGTCAGGTAACTAATGTCCCACATGTCATGGGACAACTAAGCTCACACCCACAACCACTGAGCTCAAGCACCACAACGAAATGCAACGAAGATGCAGCAAGATGCAACTAAGACCCAACAAGGCCAAATAAATAAATTCAAATAAACTTAGAGAAAATGCGAAGCCCCTTTCAAAACTCTTTTCTTGAGATTTTCAAGTTGGTGACTGAAGAGCATTAAAGAAACTTCGAGGCCCTTCTAAGCATGAGATCTGTGCAAACACCCAATTGACACAACTGTAAGACAGCCCCATGGGTCTTTTCTCCTCAGGACTCAGCTCAATGGCTGTCGCTTCTAAGTCAACGATGCCCAAAAGAAGATGAGCATCATTCACTTCTGGGTCCTCTCAACGCCTGCCCATCTTGAGATTAACAACAGCTGACATGTTTAGCACATGTTTAAGACAGAAAGTTATAAAGATACATGAGAGTGACGCAGGAGATAGTTGGGCACCAGGCTGAGCAGCTACATCCAGTCTCCTGAGGACACTTTGAGACAAAATCACAACAGAAGCATCAGCCCTGATTGGGTGAAAGACAAAGTGACCATATTTTTTTTCATATGTCCTGCCAAACCCCCCAGAAACCTTCACACTGGAATTCATCTTGGTTGAGAGATGTGTGCACCACCAGGAAGGATCCTGAGTCAGGCCAAATATGGGCCCAAGCAAGATGACTGGCCAAAGACAAACACAGAAGACTGCCCCCATATAAGCAATCTAAACCATTCTTATCGGGAGCAATTCTCTCTGAGAATTCACCCATGTGCTCTTCCGTGCATGCTGTGTACTTGGTCACTCAACTGTGTCTAACTCCTTGTGACCCCATGAACTATAGCCCACCAGGCTCCTCTGTCCATGGGATTTCCCAGGCAAGAATACTGAAGTGCTTGTGTATTTTGGAAATTAATCCTTTGTCAGTTATTTCATTTGCTATTATTTTCTCCCATTCTGAAGGTTGTCTTTTCACCTTGCTTACAGTTTCCTTTGCTGTGCAAAAGCCCATGACAAGATGCTCAACATCGCTCATTATTAGAGGAATGCAAATCAAAACAACAATGAGATATCACCTCACACTGGTCAGAATGGCCATCTTCAAAAAGTCTACAAACAAATGCTGGAGAGGGTTTGGAGAAAAGGGAATGCTCTTGCACTGTTGGTGGGAATGTAAACTGATACAGCCATTATGGAAGACCATATGGAGATTCCTTAAAAAACTAGGAATAAAACCACCATATGACCCAGCAATCCCATTCATAGGCATATATCCTGAGAAAACCAAAATTGAAAAAGACACATGTATCCCATTGTTCTTTGCAGCACTATTCACAAAAGCTAGAACATTAAAGCCTAGATGTACATCGACAGATGAATGGATAAAGAAGCTGTGCTACATATACACAACGGAATATTACTCAGCCATAAAAGGAATGCATTTGAGTCAGTTCTGATGAGGTGGATGACCCTAGAACCTATTATACAGAGTGAAGTGAGTCAGAAAGAGAAATATAAATAAATATCATATTCTAACGCACATATACATGGAATCTAGAAAAATTGTACTGAAGAATTTATTTACAGGGCAACAATGGAGAAACAGACATAGAGAATAGACTTATGGACATGGGGAGAGGGGAGGAGAGAGTGAGATGTGTGGAAAGAGTAACATGGAGACTTACATTACCATATGTAATATAGATAGCCAACATGAATTTGCTGTGTGGATCAGGAAACTCAAACAGGGGGCTCTGTATCAACCTAGAGGGGATGGGCAGGAGATGGGAGGGAGGTCCAAAAGGAAGGGGATAGATGTATACCTATGGCTGATCCATGTTGAGGTTTGACAGAAAACAGCAAAATTCCATAAAACAATTATCCTTCAATAAAAAAATAAATTAAAAAATAATTATAAATAGTGAAAAAAAAAACCAGAAAACTGGAGTGGGTTGCCATTTCCTCAACATGTACTTTGATGTTAATAAACATTGTATCTGTTTCACAATATTGGTCTCTGTTGAATTATTTCTTCAAAGAAGACAAGGACCAAGGTCCTGCTTCCAGCCACCCCCACCCCCCAACAATAGTATTCATGTATTATTACCAACATTAGATCCCAAGTAGAAATGATTCATATGAACATGTGATAAGAAATATTTTCTCCTCTTTTAACTGAACTATTTTGAAGTGTCAAATTATTTAGGAGCTTTTACTGTGTGTCAGTGGCACGAGTGGTAAAGAACCTGCCTGTCAATGCAGGAGACATAAGAGACACAGGTTTGATCCCTGGGTCAAGAAGATTCCCTGGAGGAGGAAATGGCAACCCAGTCCAGTATTCTTGCCTGGAATGGGCTACAGTCCATAGGGTCTCAAAGAGTCAGACACAACTGCAGTGACTGAGAAAGCAAGCATTGTGTTTCAAGTCCTTTCCTTAAAGGGAGAATGATCTCTGTGGTTATAATATCAACAAAAGTACCATTGTCAGTGTAAATAAAGATGCAAGAGCAGAGGCAGCTCTGTGGTATAATTACACATTGGGTACCGCTCAGCTCCTATTGAGAAACTGAGCCTGAACAATGCAGACATACACAGACCCACTTTTTTAAATAAATAATTGTTCTCTGAAGGTTGCCCTGGAAAGATTACTGTCTCTAACTTCCATGAACTGCTCATCTGCAAGGGAAGAAGGTGGTAACTGTTAGAGAAACTGCTCTTAAATGCATGAACCACATCAGAGAACTTTTGGAAAATCCCTTATTATTCATTAAAGCATGTTACGGCCTTATTAATTCAGATGGGATAATCGGTTGTTGATCAGCCAGACAGTTAAGCATTCATTGTCAGATGCTGATGGGGTGTGAGAAATTACATTTCCTATCCACCAAAGATTCACCTGAATGCAGTTAGCACTTCATCAGGTAAGGCTTCCTCTTTAGGGGATAAATTAGCTGGATTTTTATTCCCCAGCCTTTACTTTCATCTCCCAAACTTTTCCATATTGCAAGCATGCCTCATTCTGTTTGGTTTCCCTTGCCTTTGTCTGAGGTTGAAAACTATGCCAGGAGCCAACTTTAAAAGCTGGTGGGTTACAAAGAAAATCACATTTGTGCTCAGGAGTCTAACATGAAATGGGTGCTGTGTGTGTCTGTGCATGTACATCTCTGTGTGTGCCTGTGTGCTTTGAGTTGATTTTACAACTCTTGGCTAGAGCCTCCTCCACACTTTTAGTTCTTCAGATCCAAACTGCATCCAGGTCATTCAGGGACTTATTCAGCCAGCTCTCCAAGACTTAGCTTCTTTTATTTCCAAACTGTGACTGACCATGAGGGTAGTATAACAGTAATGAGCATGGTGAGAAGAGTCCCTGGATTAGAGGTCAGAATATGTTGATTCATTTTCCGGTTCTGGTTCTGTTTTAGGAGAACTGACTGTCACTTTTAAACTGCTCTCAATTTCAACAAGTCATTTCATCTCTCTGACAATATGCAATTAATTTTTTTCTCCCTATGATAACAGAGCAACACTGATACTTAAGCTCCAATACTTTGGCCACCTGATGTGAAAAGCCAACTCATTGGAAGAGACCCTGACACTGGGAAAGATTGAGGACAGGAGGAAAGGGGATGACAGAGGATGAGATGATTGGATGGCATCCCAGACTCAGTGGACAAGAGTTTGAGCAAACTCTGGGAGATAGTGAAGGAAGGGAAACCTGGCGTGCTGCAGTTCAAGGGGTCACAAAGAGTTGGACACAACTTAGCAACTGACCAACAAAACAAAGCAAGAAGAGTTGGGTGTATTTCTACAAAGATAGACCAGTACCCAACTCTTTGTGGAATTTCTGACCTCAAAGGGACAGAGGGCTTGCAAGACTAAGAGGACCTCCCCCACCACCATCACCACCAAATCTTCAAAGAAGGTATGTGTTTACTCACGGAACTGCTCCAGGTGGTCAGCACTGTTAGACTCCGGCATGGCCGTGATAGTCACCAGTGGACAGGAATTCCCTCCTAGCGTCTGGCAGAGAACCTCCTGTCGGAAGTATATCTGCTTGTGGTTCACACTTTTTTCCAGAATGTCAAGGTGAGTCTGGGGCAGAAATTAAAGAAAAGTCTATTTTAAGATTTTTTTATAACAACAGGTAAAAGCAGCAACAAAGCTTATATTCCTCTAACTCCTGGTAGTTTAGAAGTATTTTTGTTAACCTAATCTGCCCGACAGGTGGCTCAGTGGTAAAGAATCCACCTGCCAATGCAGGAGATGTAGGTTCAGTCTCTGGGTTGGGAAAATCCCCTGGAGAAGGCAATGGCAACCCACTTCAGCATTCCAGGCTGGGAAATCCCATGGACAAAGGAGCCTGGCAGGCTATGGTCCATGAGGTCACAAAAAAGTTGGACAGGAGTTAGCAACAAAAACAAACAGATCTGCCTGACACAGGGCATCAATTCATTTAGAAGTGGGACTGTTCCTGCTCCCTGGAAGAAGTTCAGTGAGGCTGAACAGGACACATCATTCCTTCGGGTATGTCTGCACAATAGAGTATCTGATTCCAAGCTGCTCTGACAGCATAAGAGGAGGCACACACAGCACTCTTCCCATGACAGTGACATGCAAAGAATGTGGTTATCATGAAGACAGAGTACACGCAAGACACTTGGGAATGTGAGACACAGCTTCAGTGGGGTGCACATGACTCTAGATTTAAGCAATACAAGGAGGGCTGGGAGCATATGGAAGGAAAATAGGAAGCAACCGATTCAGGGAAAATGTTATGTGAAGAAAACTAACTGGTAGCAAATGATTTTCCCTACCCTACCCTCTCTCTGGGCTTCCCTGGTGTCTCGGTGGTAAAGAATCCACTTGTCAGTGCCGGAGATGCGGGTTCAATCTCCAGGTTGTGAAAATTCCCTGGAGAAAGAAATGGCAGCCCACTCCAGGATTCTTGACTGGGATATCCCATGGACAGAGGAGCGTGGCGGGCTATAGACCGTAGGGTCACGAAGAGTCAGACACAACTTAGTGACTAAACAACAAAAAAGGATGTCCATGCCCCAAACTTCAGACCCTGACAATATCTTACCTTACATGGCAAAAGGGATTTTGCAGATATATTTAAGTCTATTTGAGATGGGGAGATGATCCTGCATTAACCAGTTGGGGCCAAACTATTGATATATGTAATCACAAATGCTTAAAAGCAGAGAATTTTCCCCAGCCACAAAGGACCAGAACCACATGCCAAGAACTCAGGCTTCCATGCTGGCTTTGAAGATGGAGGGAAGAGGTCAAAAGTTGAGGTGTCTTCTAAAAGCCAGCAGAGGCAAGGAAATGGATTCTCCTCCACTATCCTCCAGAAGGAATACAGACCCAATACCTTGATTTTTTTAAAAATACTTTTTTTTTGTATTGGAGTATAGCCAATTAACAATGTTGTGATAGTTTCAGCAAAGGCTGTGAACAGCAAAGAGACTCAGCCATACACATACATGTATCCATTCTCCCGCAAATTCCCCTCTCATCCAGGTTGGCACATAATACTGACCAGAGTTTCCTGTGCTAGACAGTAGGTCCTTGTTGGTTACCCATTTTAAATACAGTAGTGTGTACATGTCCATCCCAAACACCCTAATTATCCCTTCTCCCTGGCAACCATAAGTTTGTTCTCTAAGTCTATGAGTTTGTTTCTGTTTTCTAAGTTCTTTTGTATCATTTCTTTTTAGATTCCACATATAAGGGATGTCATATGATGTTTGTCCTTCTCTGACTTCTCTCATATGACAGTCTCTAGATCCATCCATGTTGCTGCTAATGCCATTATTTATTCTTTTTAATGGCTGAGTAAAATTCCATAGTATATATGTATCACATATTCTTTATCCGTTCCTCTGTTGATCGTCATTTAGGTTACTTCCATGTCTTTGCTATTATAAACAATGCTGTAATGAACATTGGGATGCATTTATCTTTTCAGTTTGACTTTTGCCCAGTGATTTTTACTCATATTGAACTTCTCATCATAAGAGCTATAAGACTTTTTTTTAATTGTTTAAGCTACCAAATGTGTGATAATCTGTTATGGCAGCAATACAAAACCAATACACTGGGCAGTAAGAAAAAGAACTTTCTAAACAAAGTAGAAATCCTAGCATCTGGGTAGGAATGGACTAAATTCCACCTGTACTCTAATGAATAAATGCCAGACTTACAAGGAAAAAGAAAAAGTCCCAAGGAAAGAAAAGATGACCAGGGATTCTGTGGCCTTTCCTATAGCTTCAAGGATACCTGAAAATTTGACCCTGAATCGAATCCTCCTTGCAACTGGGATCCCGAATCATCTGCCTCCACATAGCCTACTGCCTGGATTAATAAGAATTTATTACTCTCTGTCTGCATCAACACAAGTTTACTGCCCTAGGAAACACTTGCCTGGGAAAATAGAAATTACAAATAAATTTACTTTTCATAAACTGATAACTTTACAGGAACATCTCAACAGCTCTTCAGTAGAAAATATCAACTGGGGACTTCCCTGGTGGTCCAGTGGTTAAGAATATGCTTGGCAATGCAAGGGACACAGGTCCTCTCCCTGGTCTGGGAACTAAGATCCTACATGCCGCAGAACAACTAAGCCTGTGGGCCATAACTAGAGAATCCATGAGCCACAACAAAAGATGACGATGACACAGTGAAGATACAGCATACTGCAAGTAACACTTGACAACACTTTCCTCAAGATTCTTACCTTCAGCGTCCACCAGGCTTAAACCATTATATCATGATCTTTACCCAATGTTAATCAAGCCCTGCATTAAAATACCTGAACTTAACAAAACTTTGAAATCTTTATAAATACCCCAGGTTTGCCCTTCCTCCTTTGAGACACTATCAAGACTCCTGTCACATTCTCCCTTATCAAATATGTCAGTTTCCTATCACATCTGCAACAAATTACCACAAATTTACTGATTGGAGACAACACAAATTTATTGTATTACAGTGCTGGAGGTCAAAAGCCCAAAATGGGTTTTGCTGTGCAAAAATCAAGGTGTTGGCAAGACTGCACTCCTCACGGAACTTCTCGAAAGTAACTTCCTTGCCTTTTCTAGCTTCTGGAGGGCAGCTGCATTCTTTGGCCCATGGTGTCCTCCGCTACAGTCAAATGAAGCAATCACAACATTCCTACCTTGGTTTCCACAGGCAAATCTCCTTTTCTGACCCAGACTCTTCTGTCTTAGTGGTTCACGGTTAAGGACCCTTATGATTACATTGGACCCAATGTAATAGTCTGACATAATCTCCCCATCTCAAGAGGTTTAACTTAATCACATCTACAAAGTCCTTTGTGCCACATAAAGCAGCATCCTTAAAGGTTTCAGGGATTAGAAAATGAACATTTTGGGCTGGGGGCAGTATTCTGTCTACCACACCAAGGTAAGCAATATCTTCGGTCTGTCTCAGAAACAGGTGGTAATTCCGAGAGCCAGCATTTGACACAATACTAAGAAAAGGAACTATAAGGACCCCGGCTACCTCAGGTTCAAAAGGGGAATTCACCTAAGGCCCATATATCTGACCAAACTTCTGTGCTTCAATCTTCCTATCGTTTGTCAAGTGATGATGAATGCCAGGTATTGTTGTGAAGCACCTCCAATGGGGATTGGGAGGTGGTCTCACACCCCTTAGAGACAAGGAGGCTAGTTCCTGGTGCACACATACACACACCGTGCACACACTAGTTACAAAGGCCCTGTGTAAACAGCTCAGGACGAAAGCTGAATTAAACCCAGAACTGATGGCTCTTCTAAGCTGAGGCTTCATCTCTCATGACCACACACTTCTCTGGCAAAGACTGACTCAGGCCCAGAAAGCTGTGCCTGAGAGTCCAGACTTCCACAGAGGCCCTTCCACACGTGCTGTGCTATTGCTTGCCTTTCTCAAGGATGCATTCATTTGGTTCCAGGTAAAGCCTAGACTTACCTGTTCGATCACTAATCTAAACCCAACATCATTGCTCCTTGTTGAGCAGAATGGGGGTTGCACCACACAATTAAAGTTATTTTTAAAAGTGTGTGTGTGTGTAGAGGTAACCCTATTCATGTAAATAAATAAATAAATATATATATATATATACACACACACATATATATGCAAAAAGTTATTCTTGTGTCACAATTCCTTCTACAGTGCTAAATGTCAGAGGAAATGGAGTACTGCTTAGTGCTTGAAAGTACAATGTATAGCAAACCTATAACCAGCCAAGTTTTTACTCACAAAGTTCTTCTCATATATGCTCAGCTATGCAAGAGCTCAGAGAACATATCACCTCATCCTTATAATAACTTGAAGACAAATTTTAGCTGCCCAAATTCAAACTAAGGAGTAATAGAAAAGGACAGTCCACTTAAACAAGGTTCATTTAGATGATTATTGGAAAACACAGCTACTACATAATACAAACATAAAAAATAGTTCTTTAGGGAGAAAACATATCATCAAATGTTAATTTCGTCATCTGGTTCTAAAATGAAATTAAAAGAAGTGTGTAAGTGAAGTATAAAGTAAAACAAAATATTCACTTTTCAACTTACATGGATATGGTATTATTACTTAATTCTTAAAAATGGAAAGGCAGTATAGCAAGATGACTAACTATGCAGGCTCTGAATCGAACAGCCTGGGTTCTAAATTTGGTTGTGGATTCTAGAAAAATCGTGTAAATTCTATCTTTAACCTCTTTGTGACTCAGTTTTCTCTGTAAAGTGTATATAGAATGTCGTTCAGTGGTTTCTATAATTTAGTCATTTACTGTGTGTGTGAGAAGTGTCTCTCATACAGGAAACACTCAATTTCAGCAGTTATTATTCATGAATACATGTATATTTAATTTTTTTAAGAACTGAAAGGGAAACACCAGCAGAATTTAAACACTGTAGGAAAAATAATCAAAGAAAACATGGTCACTTCATGTTGCATAAAACAGAAAGAAAGAAAGAGAGAAAGAGAGAAAGGAAGAAATGAGGGAAAGAAGAGACGGAGGGAGGGAAGGAAGAAAGGAAAAAAGAAAGGAAGAGGGAGGGAGGAAGGGATGG